GAAATATTTCATTCCATTATGATTCCAAGTTTAAGCGGTAGAAGAATGAGACCATGTGACTTAACGGCTATGGCTATATCGGGAGTTTGTACTGGTTATAAACTATTGTGGTCTCCGCAAAGCTACTCAAAACGTTCACCATTACTTGACATTCAACTGATTAATTCATATTGGTCACATAAACTATCCTTCTCTAGGCTTGAATGCCCGGTCTTTATATTGAAGTTCCCACCTAGCATTACGACATCTGTTAAGTGCACTCGCTAGAGAAGCTCCTTCAGTTGATGGTAAAACTCATCCTGTACTGCACCGCGTTCGGGGCATAAGCAGAGGTGATAGAGAGACATCATCCCCCTTTGCAGTTACTTCTCACTTCAATGAAATCTTTTGATCTGCTAATACAAACGACTATTGGTGCGGATTCAGTCGGCTAGTGCATCTTTAGTTCTGGCGCTTAGTGTGAAACCAATGACAAGAGCTCGGCTGCTGATGCCGGATGATTGAGCTGTGAAAACATTTTGAACCAACAGCTGGGAAAGTTATTCGAAGCAATTCTATGGCATATTATGCGCAGGTCTCTGAGATACAACATACATCACTAGTGACACTTCATTCTTTGCCAAATGTGTCTGCTATTCGATCTGCATCAAAGTTAGGACGTTATATGTGGCCAACTTAAGTGGTTCATGCAGTTTCAGGATTGTTGTATCGGACATCACACTGAAGGACAACTTTTTGGCGACTCAAGACAGTGCAAAATTTTCAGGATTTTGTTCAGTAGCCGGTAGCTACTTGAAACAAATGTACTTTTAGGTAGGAATTCGAAAATGACAAAGAAAAGACAGCGTAGTTCTTATATGAAGATTACGACAGTGTGATGAAAAAGAGAATGACTAAGCAGACAGTTCGTTACACTGAATTTCGATTCGTGCAGAAAGATTTGGTGCACACTTGGTAGTTTTCTTGAATAACGTTGATTCACAAACCGTATATGAACTGTGATGCCGCTCGGATGCCCATATTGAAGCAGGTGGTTGTTCTAATTTGCTACTCCTCGAGTCTTTGATTTGACGTCTGATCTACAAGGTAGCGGAGCAACGTGAGATGCCGCATTCTCATGGTTACCGGTAAAAAAAGATGAGTCCATACGCCATTTCTCTGTTCTGGATGGTGGGGTCTATGTGTACCACCAGTTTAGAATCATACTTTCCCAACGAAATGTCCCGTACATGTCAGTCTGGTCATATCACCGAACATTTTCTTTCTCCCTGTCATTTTTGTGGAGACACCTTGCGTCACATGAAGGCAGCGAGTGCGAATTCTTAGATAGGGCTATGAATGTGGGTCATATGAGAGCATTTAGAGAGAAGGGTCTGTACCGGATAAAGACGTTTAGGAAGCATATCTAGTATAACAGCTAAGGTGAAGATAAGGTTTTGATGTATCCTTGTCAGCGATCGATTCTAAGACAAATCACCTAGAGTTTTGCACCATCAATTTCGGTTGTCACATCTACAGCTTGTCTACTTCTTAAACAGCCCAGATATGAACTCGGAAAGTTTTTGGTCTGATGCCAAATCACCCAGGGTCAGTGAACTCAAAATGTTGTTCTTGACAATTAAACAAATGGGTCTGAATCTGATATAAAGGAAAAACATCCTGGTTTCTAATGGGTTTACTCATATGATGTTTGTAAGCTCTGGTTAGTTCGAACAGGATTTTTAACTACTTACAACCGCTAAGTAGTTTAACGGATTAAGCGGAGAAAACAAATATGCAGTGCACTGCATGTTTTTCACACGTCCCATGTGATGACAATCAATACAATCCCACTATGTACAAGTGATGTGATAGGCTATGAGCCACAACTATTGTGTAACTGCTTATGATGCAACCCGATGGCTCAGGCCGAAATATGTGAGGTAGGTTTCGAATCCAGGACTTATAGATCGGGAGTTAAGGACCAATAAACCATACCTCCGTAAACTCAAGTTCAATGTTCACGGGTTTTGACTTGAGTTAGCTCCATAAATCACCTCAACCTAAAGTTCCATTATTTGGCCTCGCATCTTTTCATTTTATTCCAACCAAAATATTGGCTTGATCATTTACCAATACTTTATTTCATGTTTATGCTTTATGCATGCGTAAACATTTTTCTGTATATTTAACTGATGAGACTATACGGAACGCATTCTCTTAGATGTCAGAAACGACTCACCTTAAAGAATCGATGTCCTAACGATGTAGGGTTTGTGATTGTGACTTCTGGGTATTGGAGTTCGTGTTAGTTTCGCGAATGAGCTACACCAAATGCTTATTTGGGAGACAGGAGTGTAAAGGTTATGAATCATTATCAGACAAAGAAAGATTTTCTTTTGGTTCATTTGTGAAAGCTCTTAACAACCATGTTTTTCAGATGCATCTTGTGACCGAATTTACTATTCGATTTAATGGATTCCATCTTTATATGTATTGTAACAACTTCAGCCAACGAAAGCTAGAGAAACGCAGAAAGCAGAGGTGATAAATAATAACGGACAATGATTTTTACTTATCGCTAAGACTGTCGAGGGAAATAAAAGTTTTTACTGAAGATAGGTTAATGACTGACTCACAGGAAAGGCACATGACTGGGGACAGCAGCTCATCCGGCCGATAGATATCCTTTGATTGTTCGCTGTCCATTCTCAGTTTAAATAGAATTTTGACCCAGAGTCAATGTTACTAGTCAAAGTTAAGAGGGTTCAAGATAACTTTAGATAACGTAAGGTTATAAATCTTGATAAACTGACATCAGAAGTTTTCGGTAGTGGTTACCCAAGATTGCTGGTTACAATGAATGAGGTATTAGCTCATTGGTCCAGGCACTTTACTTGCAACCAATGGGTCACGATTATATACACCACCTCATTTACTAAGGTTTGGGCAACCACATAGTATCATTAACCCTCACAATGAGTGTGGCTCTTTGCCTCATGTATGAATGTGCAAGTGGCTACTGAAAAACTTTTGTTAGTTAATATGTAGGATTCAGATATAATCTAATTCGACTGATCTCAGATGCCCATTTTCCCAGTTCGTAAAAAATTAAAAAGCTTTTGTAATCAATATAGGAATTTGGTTGACCAATGTGGTTTCTTGGATTCTAGATTCCACAATTACTCGAGGCCTAATTTATGTTCAGGAACAAAAAATAAGAGAAGACCAGGTAGCTTTTGAATTCTATTGTAAGCTCATAGGTTAATGCTGCCCATTCAGTTCCTGGGGTTTGACAGTCTATCAGGAGCTGATTGACTGAATCCTCACTTAAAGTTGCTCAGAAATTGCACCAACTTACTACAAACTCCATACCCTTGGTCACAGTAGACCTTGAGGTAAGCTATCGAATGAAACATTTTTGTCAAGTGGTAACCATCACACATGTATTTTCTCTCAATTCTAATTTGTGTCCCCCTACACGTCTGACTTTGTAGAAAGAAGTTGATCTAAAATGAGATTCCTCAGTCGAATCAGTGTACATAGTGACATAGTCGTGTCAGGTTATGACGCTGACAAGATGCATGTTATTCCGAACATTTTGGGCGGGAGTTCAAGAAAGTTTGGGATATGTTTTCCCCTTCTGGATGGCAGCTATCTCTTCAAGACTGATCTGTATTGACATTTCATATGATGACAGGTTAGGTAGTTGAGTACAATGATAAACTCATGTACCTAGAAAGTTACATCAACTTTAGTAGCCAACGAAATCCGATCACTGATCAAAAGTGACTCGATTGGCTTTTGGTAACGAACACTTCTGGCCCCAATAAAAATCCAAATATCTGTTCGAGATTAAATATTTTGCACAACTGTGAAATATAGTCTCTAAAGGTGTAGGATATGTAAAGGCTTTAGATATTTGACCACCGTCATCTTGGTAGGGTCGGTTGCATATGATGAAACCATCTTGTGAACAACTCAAAGGTCTAAAAATTGGAATTCAAGTCAGTTTATTATGTTGTGAACTTTCACCGAGAGGGATGGTTGCAACATATGTTAGGCTACTGATTTGCTTCTTACCCCGATGCACCGTGCTAGCGCAGTAGTAGAATGATTAGGTTAAAGAACATGAAGGGTTTTTAGACCAGGATATGACACAATGAATAAAGTGTCTGACTTAATCTACGTTTTAAAGAGGAGTGTAGGCTTTTGTTTGAGCTTCGTAAGAGAAGTAAAATAGTTGGTTGTAGACTCTATGTTGTGCATCTCAGAACAGATCAGATTAGTCTTCATGGTATCCATACTTTCATCTTGACTTTAATACCACATATCCTCATTTTCCCAGTCTTATTTTTTCAGGTTGGAATTCATCATGGACTGATATCAGTTGGAGGAACATTGGAAACCTGGGAGCACTGGATAGATGTTTTGTCCTGGTACGGGACTTAGTAGTGCGCACCTATGACCCCGTCAGAGATCGAACCCAGGACCTTCAGGTTTCGTGGTCAACGCGTTACCATTAAGCCACTGGGTTGGAGTCCAATGGTCCATATTTCCTACTTCTCTCAGTTCACACTATAGTACGACCTACATCCAATGTTGTCGTTGAATAACTGTCCTCATGTTCAACTTGGCTGACTCCACTGATCACGACTTCTCATTGAAACTTCGGGAATCACCTCTCGAAGCTAGTCACTAATGAGCATTAGAATAATTCTATCTAAGGGTTTGTGGAGGTTTATTTATTTATTTTAGGTTGGAATTCATCATGGACTGACATCTTATTTTTTGCTATACAGCTTCTATTGTTGTTGTTTTATTATTTTCATTTTGTTAACTGTCATCGTGATGCGTAAAGCTGTAAATTAAAGTTTTAAGTTATACCAGATCCTATTTTGTTTGTGTCTGTTTGCCTGACATAGGAAGGGCTAGTGTTTTCGGTCATAATCTTAGTAGTTAAACCTTTTACCCACCATAGTGTGCCTATTCTTTTTGTTTTGATCGCCTAAGTGTGGTGTTCTAGATAAAGTCGTGGACAAACAAGGTTAACAACTACTCTTCAAACCTTTTGTTAAGGAAAGTTCTCGAACGTCATTTTTCAGCAGTGATTAAAGTAATTAGTGTATAACCAATAATTATAAGTGTAGTCAGTTTCTGGACACTAATGTTTAGATCATCTAAATAATGCAACCAAATCGGCTTGAAAAACTGATATTTCCTTATTTCAAATTACTTTCTAGACTTTTTAGGGGAATTCAATTATTAGCTACCTGTTTTCGATAGTCTATTGATGTACAGTAAGTGAAGGTGGGACATCACTTTTCATGATGAAAGTAAGTTGTGCAGAAGCTAGTCAGTGGACTATGTTCATGTACAGTAATTGAAAAAGTATTTTAAATTTTATCCATCTTTGGTTGCTGTGATGGTGAAACTGGGAGGAAAAAGATAGATGCATATCGCTTGTCCTTTGTATAGCAAGTTGATCTCTTCGCAGGTCTGAAAGGAAGACAGAACATTTTTTCAGGGACCCACCAATGATATCCTTAATTGAAGTCAGAACATTTACTAGGTTTCAGTTTACTAGTAAATTGTTGTTCACTTTCTTCATAATTCCCACCAGTAGGAAATCATTACGAAGGTTGTATGGGGGATTAATTTCTAACTTTGAGCAAACTGTCAAGCAGTCACAATAGACAGTAGAGTGTGAATACTTTCTTCATACTTTCCAATGTAACGGAACTACCTTAGCAGTCTTGCAGTACCCACCTCTTTTCTGCTCTAACCACTTAGTTGTAATGTTACATAAACTCCTTACTTGACCATGCTAGTCCGCTAATTTTCTAACGCTAGTCCTGGAAGACGTTCCTCTCTCCTTGCACATTTTGACTTAATTGCTAATCCATGGAGGTTTTAGTTATGACATGGAGAATGATGTTATCCCTTAAAACGTGGTTTTGAGCTTTTTGCGATGACTGATTCGTAAATCCGTTCATGGTCACTGTTTATCAGTAGAATAGGATATTCTGAATCAATGATATCCTCAGTGGGATAGGTTAAGATGCAAGGTAATAGCAGCCATCCATCCAGATGTTGTTTCTTTGGGATATTTTAGATGTTCATACTTGAGGAAGATGTGTGACGGACTTTCTGATTACCAGCATTGTCCAGTTGTTGAAAGATGTTTCCAGGTCTCACACAAACAATTACTGACTTCTCTGACTGCAGTCAGATTAAAGTCACCAGTTAGACAAAAAGACTGGTAGATTGTTTCGGTTATTAGTGTGCTGTTGTTAGACTTCATCTTAAATTCGTTTACTTTACATATCTTGTTGTTCGCTTGTTTAAGAAGTTCCCTATCTCTTTTTTCACTTGAAAACTTACCTCCTCTTCGTTTTATTTCTTTAAAACCAATCCAGTGTAATAACTATGTTCCATTCATGTGTCTGGATAGCCACTCTGTGCAACGTTCTTTTTCCTCTTCGTTGTTTGTAGACTAGTTCGCTGTCAGCTTCTCATTTTCCAAACCTAATAACTACGGGATTGCATTGTTCAGCTTACTTTCCGAAAGATTCTGTACGACCGTCTCAATGATTTTGAATCTTCGATATAATCATCCGCTTCACGTGATACAAGTTCATAACCTTATTCACTAAATACACTCATTCATTTCTTCGCTTCCTTTCAACATTGTCACCTATTTAATACATTACCTACCAACAGTACTCCTGAAGCATCCATAGTCAATCGCTTATTATTCCCGGATGTCATTCATCTTTCGCAGTCATAATACTTCCGCTAAAGAGACTGTTGTGCAGGATACTCTTGTAGTTGGTATTCAGATCTCTGTGATGCCCTGACTAGTATAATTTGGCAAATGCCTGTCTACCGTTACGTATGTACTCAAATTGCATAAGACACCAACTTGTGAGGACTGATTCAACACACTTGGCCTCTTCAGCATATCTTGTTAAGTAGGATATATATATATATATATATATATATATATATATATATATATATTGTATATATATATATATATGTATATATATATATATATATATACATATATACATATATATAATGTCGTGTGAATTCTGAGTGGGTTGTAGTTCAATTCAGACAGAAGTAAAACTATAGCTGCAGCCTATATATCTGGTAGTATATGAGAGTTCACCTTTATAATGAATTGCATCGGAAATGGATTGGGAATAAGTACTACTACCTTGCCACTAATTTCCCTTAAAAACAACTTAGTAATACTTTTGCTAGATAAACCAAAGTGTATCTTGATAATCACTTATTTCCCCTGTTTTCAAAACTTAACAACTACTTTTTACTTCCTTTTACCCTCAGCATCGCCGACTTATAGTTCTGTAAGTACTGAACTATCAGAGTGTTATTCTTCACCTAATCGGCCTAGAAAAAAATATGAGTGTGTACCAGAATCTTTAAAAACAGCTCCAGACTACATTGACCAAAGGATACGTAATAGGAATGCTGTGAAGCGGTTTCGTGAAAGATCGAAGACAAAAGCTAAAAAACTTGAAGAGGAGAAAGCTAATTTAATTTCATTGACACAACTTTACGATAATGAATTGATCCGAATCAAGCGTTCTAAACAGGTAGTTTCATTATTCTTCATACTGTTGTCTAATCCCTGTTGTTGGTATCCGTTCTACAGTTGTCTCTTGGTTTTCCCCATATTCCTTAGTCCCATATTTTTTTCAAGTTTCTTCTTAATGTATTATTATTGTGAAATCTGTGTTTATTTCAGACCCAAAAGACAAATTTTTGAATATTTTCTGGGTGAAGTATTCATTACTGCTAAAGTGAGTGAAGACTGCGTAGTGTAATGATTATATAGTGAAATCGTTCAGAATTGGATAGCCATATATCATTGTTAGTACAATGAGATGAGCAGTCGTGGCGAAATTGTCTTTGTGTAATATTTGTCGAAAATTTAGATGTCAGCTCCTTTCTATTTTGAGGATCAGCCACCGCAGTCTAGAAGTTCTGACATCATGGAATCTTTGGTATTTCTGCACTGCTTGACCCTCATTAGTTTTCTTCATAGGCTGAATTTCGAACATTGAGTGTTCATATCAGTCATTTACATGTCAGTAACTTTCCACTAAGTTCAATACGCAAATTACGAAAACAAACGTAAGTTGACACTCCTCAATAAATATTTTACTTATTATCATCTACCTGTGAACTACTACGTTTGGAAGTGACGAAACAGCACTACAAGATTAGTGCATCAGGGATTTTCCATAAGTTTGACCATATTTTATGTCGCTAAAAGCTCCAGGGTATCAGAGAGCTTTTGTCTTATGTTAAAGGTTTATCGACAGTTAAGAAGTGATTCAACAACCAGGTAATGATACATGTATAGAACTGTAAGCCATACTTGTGTAATACTACCTGATTTTGCAGACTTTGGCCATACAGTTGGATTGGAACTTACGACTCGTTGGATGAAAATTGAGTGTCTAAATCAATGAGCTACGACGCCGGCAGTGGGCACTGGGACAACTTTGAATGGTGGTCTAGTCAAGGAGGCAGATTTAGGCAGCATATTTACTATCCACGAGGCAACTAAAATTGAGTAATTGAGGATCGGTTAACGTAATTTAAAGTCGATTGGAGGGATCTAGATACATTCGTTTCATAGCCGTTGTGAAAAGTTAGCACGCAAAAAGAAACAGGAAATGTGCACAGTTGTGATTTAATGACTAATTCATGCCTCGATATAGCTTCACTGAGGTGGCTGTTTTATAACATAGTTTCGTAACTGCTCGTCAGCAGTGCATTCCCATTACCCCTCCAGGGGTCGGACCCACGACCTTCAGGTTCCGCGGCCGGCACGTTACCATTGAGCTACTGGGCCAGAATCCAATGATCCATGTTCCCTACTTTTGTCAGTCCTCAGCCCCACCATTTCCGCGACAGGTCAAATATGATATATGTTTCTACGTTGCATTGTTTTCTATTGTAATGACTGCGCAGTGTTTTTTCACGCTTTTTATGGAACAGTCAGTCAGTGAGTAGAAAAAATCTACAAGTTTATGTAAAAAGTACGAGCTGTGGCTCAGTTGGTTAGGGAGATGTCTTTCCACCAATGGGTCGTGGGTTCGAATCCCGCTCCACCTACTGAGGTTTAGACAGCCATGCAAAGTATCACTAGCCCTCACACAATAAGCGTAACTCATTACTTATAGCACGAATGTGCGCTAGATTGCTGTGTTCCGATCTTCGATTTTTTTTCGAGTTTATGCGTATCTATAACTCTGCGAGGTTGACAACTGTATCTTTTTGAGCTCCTAAATTTGGTTTAAGTTTCTTGAATACTGTCCCTTCGATAAGACGTGGTAGGCTTGAGTTCTTTCGCCCACTAATCACTTTGAACAGTTTGAGACTGTCTGTACTGTCAAGTATCAATCAGACGACGTGCCTCTGGCTACTTGGTTCTGCGTTGGTATAGCAGTGCTGTTGCACTGACGTTATTGCGAGAATAAGGCCTCTTGCAAACGTCTGGTACCCAGGATAAGTTCTAATCTGAAAAGAACTGAAAAAAGGGTTACTAACACATTTTATTACTGTGTATTCTGTTCAGTTAGTGACTTGTGAAAAAAAAAATCAGTCAAGTAAAAGGAATACGTGTTATTTGGATGCGTAAGAAGTTAAACTCTCGCGAAAGTGTCAAAACTATATTTCCAGTTGTAGGTCGATTAAGTTAACCTTCTTTTCCCTTTTGACCTGTTTTTTCTACCATTCTCCCCTGGTTCCTTGCCATTATTGGTATTATATTTATCTTTTCTCATTCTAATCTCTCTTCTCAATTTGTTAATGTAAATTGTGACTCTCGAACCCCAATGCACAAGTAAGGTGGGTCGTACTTTGTTAATATTTCTTTCATCTAGTAAATGAAAACACAAGATTATAACCCGAAGCCTTGGACCCATGAAATGAGCGTGTTAACATTGAAATAGATCATAGCGGGCAGCACTTTCAGACTACATCAACTACTTGTGTGTTTTACCGCATGTGGTGCGCAGAATTTCAGTTAAATTTTCCAGCTTTCTTACTCATTATAGCTTATTTGTGCGAGTGTTCTGGAATTTAAAAATCCAAGTAATAACCTACGCATTAGTGGAAATAAATTTTTTTTAGTGCATGGATTTATCACTGGTGTAAATTATGTTTTTACTGATTTTCTGATGCATTTTAGAAACTTGAACTTCTCCTATATCAACATGCAGCTCATAAAAATATTACCAATCAACTTGATGAGATTTTACGAACAGATGCTAAAGCACGATCAGATTTTCAAAGTAAACTCGCCAATATCCAAGCTTCATCTGATTCCTCTTTAATGGATATAATAGATGAACGTTAGTAAGAATTAAGATCGTTTTGTTGCATTTTTATGTGATTCGTTCATCGTTGAGACTAATGATAATGTAAATTTGTAAATAAGATTGTTTTCCTATATTACTTATTTGAATTTCACTACTTTGTCTTTTTACATCTAATATTGATGTTATATTTACTTACTTATTTTTAACTCTTGTATATGAAACACTATAATACGATTCGCGAGGCATCAGATTTTACCAAGAATTACTTTTGAAAAGTCATTGGAAGTATTGGGTCTTCGAAGGTTTTTGTGTCAGTGACCTTGTTGGTGAGACATTTGTGTTCATAGCTTTATTTACTGACTTATCATCTGTACACATGTAGGCTATATTCTGTGTAGATTGCTAAATAATATTCTCTTCGTTCTGCTGCCTGAGAAATGACTTACTCTCTTTTAAGTTTCTTTCAGTTGAACTGTGTTTTATTGAAAAAGCCATACTCTCTTATGTAAATAAGTATGTGAACATTTTCTGACTTTTGCATTCAGTATATGAATCATTTGGTGAAATCATTCAGTAGAGCTGTACAGGTTGTGTAGTGTTTCATGGGAAATATGGAAGTGTATCTTCTTTGCGTAGTCACTAGGTGATCGCAGATGGAGCATATTTTTTGAACTAAGAGAAAACGATACAGTACGCTTTGGTAAAGCTTTCCATCGATTTATCTAAACATACATGTTGTTCTATCTACAAACAGTGAAGACGTCAAGTTTGAAAGACACACTTGTTTTAAGTATAACTGAGTTATGTTTCACACCGAAAAGAAAAGATTTGGGAGAGATATTTTTAACGACTCAAGATGACTGAGGCTTCGTAATGACTCAGATAAATGTGAACTGTTGATAGAGATGAAGTTTTTTCTCCCTCATAAACCTCATTTTTTCTTCCGTTGTTTTCTTCATAGACCGTGTAGAAGTTAGGATTCTGAGCATGTACACAAATCATAGCAGGACTACTTCCATTGAACTTTGGTTTGAAGTTTTATTCACAAGAAAGTGATGTAAGGTGAGAACTTGCATTTTCACAGGAGTCGTCGGTAAACACATCCTACATTTACCATTGGTTAGGATTTAGGGTTCTGTAGTTCTTCATGCATCCATCGTCTGTGTGTCGAGAGTCAAAAGTTTATCTTCATTTCTTTTTTGTAGAAATGGTTGAAGTTAGTGAATAGGATCTCACTAAAAAAGGCTATTAGTGTACTTTTTTATGAGAAAGTTTTTAGAGAAAAGGCGGAATTTTCACTCTCAATTTTCCAAGGATATATGAAAATGGTTCCTTCTTTTCAAATACGTGAAAAAAATTATGTAAATTTAAACACATGAAGTAAAGGAAGATTAATTCTAACGCAATACTGTTTTTTGTTGGTTTTCCCTCGTTTATATGTGACAGTATGTCACTTTACTTTGTGTGGCACTTTAGACTGTTTTCGGTTGAAGTTTTTCACTCACAGATCTAATTTAATGCAGAATGAAACAAACCAAATTATTTTCTGAAATCGGAAAATGCTAGGTAGATGTGTTAATCGATTGTCGGATTGACACAGGCAGATGATATCAACATAGGACCTGATATTACTGCCTAGTGATCCAATTCTCCACACCTCACATCAAATGAGAATACATCAAGATGAAAGATAAAGTAATCAAAAGTGGTAGAAAGCCGTGAAAAGATAGCGAAGAAGAATGTGACAAAATTGAAATTTAGTATAATGACTGAGATAAGGATGATGCGTGGATACATCTGCGCTATTGAGGTTGGTTCTCAGACATATCATCTGGAGACTTCGACCAGTGATTTCGGTTGTCACGTGATCTGTAACTGAGAAGTCTACATTTTCGTACACGGCTCAGACCAACAATCAGAGACTCCTTATTGTGCCTAGACCCTGCAGGAATGCGTTAGCTTGTATCCATTAGTTCAGGAGAAGCTGTTGGAACCCTACTGGTCATTTCTGACCACTTTCTGAGAGTTATTTTAGGGCCTTCAACCCTGTTTTAGCGGCAGACTGTAGACGATGCCGGGCTTCATCTGAATGAGTGATACTCTGTTCTGAAAACTGTCTAGCTAGTTTCTCACTAAAAGCAGTTTTAGTGTTCTCATTGTCGAACTTCACTCGCACTGGTCTTGTTACTGTGACTTCCCACGTCCATTTAAACACAGGTTTACATGTGGTCGAACTAACGCATGATCGTAGTTCAAACGTACTTCAGAAGGAGTGGAAATCTCCTACCAATAACTGACAGCAATTTGATCCATCTGTTGCCACCGTTGATTTAAGCTTCGTGGATGATACATCAGACATCTCATTATATCTGAAGTTTATATTGTGCAGAAATAGGTGCTTATAGGAGCGCAGTTTTAATAGCCGATCACTGTTATCCGTTTGTTGAGTGGAAATTCCGAGAGTACCATCTAAGTGCTTGACTTAGACTATCCACTTGTTCATTGAAACCACCTGTTACAACCACCACATCTGAACGTTTGGCATTCAGTAGGAGGTTAGGCTTAAGCAGGGATTACAAAAAGACAACAGCAAGTTTCACTGTTTCTTTTAGTCGTCACTATGCAATTCAGTCGAACAGCTCATAGGCGATTGTTATCTGGGATCCAGTCAAGCAATGCACTTTGTGATGTATCTACCTGCTGGAACCTAGTGGTTGAATCTCCAGAAACTTGAAGAGTGAATTTCGCAGATTCCACCATTATTGACAGCTGAGGTCAAATAAATGAACGAGGGCCCTTGGGTATTGTGTGTCGCACAAATACAGCATCCATGGCCCAAGATGGCAGAGTTTCGGTGAGCGAAGTTTGTTCAATGGAGGGCGTGTGTGAACATTGCAAGCTACATTATGTATTTTGGGGCGTGATTGGGGGAATCAGTGATGATGTCCTATGAAATCGAGTCGTTGTCAAGAGCTCCAAAGCTAGAAGCAGTTAAAGATGATGTGAAGCTGTTGACCAAGAGACATGAAGAAAGATTCGAATGGAACAATATTAAAGGTTAATAATAGTTTGACGGAGTTTTAAGGGTGGCTGACACAACCCAGCTGCCCACACCGCGGAAGGCTATTTCTTCCCAAGGTACCTGAAAAAGAGTGGTTATTGCATGATCACTGCCCACGAGATATCTGCTTGATCCCGGTTACACACGATCTTTTAGGAAATTTGATATTGTGGTTTGATTTTCGGTAGTCCGTGTGGGAACCGTTGTCACGGGCACTAGTATAACGCTAGGTTGCAAGGAGCGTGCCACTTTTTTGACCTATCTTTCCTAGCCCGCCTCCCGTTGGGGAAGGCAGCATCAACGTGGCACTACTGGTCATCCAAAGAGAACACCTTACTGGTGTCATACCTCGGGCCAGCCGGCGGCACGACTCCGTCCCCTCCCCCATTGTAGCGTAGTAACTTACTCTATAACGTTAACTGGTTTTTGTTTAGCCACTACCCAAAATACCTTAGTAATCTAGTAAGACCTTGGGAGAACAAGATTTCCACCACTATATTTCTGTGAGTCATTTTAATATGCAAGTTTGATCACCGAGTCAAGGTAGAGGCTATCGATCGAGTGATTATCGAACTCTTGCTCCGTGATTCAATTTCACGCACATATCCCCCTTTGATCTTGAGAATAGCAAGAGCGACATAATGAGCAGAATAGTATGGTATCATTTTATTTCATTGGATTCTCTTTAGCTGTTTACAAGCTATAGAACTTCTAATATGAGATTGCGGTGGAAATTCTACGTTGGGATTGTCAACATGAATTCAGTCGGTGAATACGTTCAAAGTGTAGAAGCATAATAAGACTGGAAGTTAAACGGAGAGAGGTAAAGATGTTAGGGTATTTTAACATATTTTACATTTATGCGTGATAGATTACTACGTTCTCATGAGACGCGAATGAATAGAGGATGGCATCAAGAATGAATGTCTAACACATTTCAGACGTCTAGGGGGTCGCGCCATCTTTAGACGGTACACCTGCTCAAAGCGTGAAACGATGCCTCATCTTTATATGATTTTGTCTGTTTGGTTGAGGATGGGTTGTATTCACAATGCCATATAATAAGTGCCACCGCATTATTATAGTCAACTCATAAGCTCACATGGATTCGAGATTACATTATAGATTCCTGTTGGAAAGTCTTAGTGTGACATGGAACATTGATTAACTTATATGGCACCTTTTGATCACAGTAAATTCTTTTTTAAGTTGGAATTCATCAGTCGTGCTCTATCGTGAAGTGACAGAAGTAGGGAATGTGGATGGTTGGATTCTGACCCAGTGGCTCAATGGTAACGTATTGGCCACGGAACCTGAAGTTTCAGGGTTCGATCCCTGGTGGTGGGGGGTCATGGGTGTGCACTACGTAGGAGTCTCACACTGGGACAAGACAGCTGTCCAGTGCTCCCAGGTTTCCAATGTTTCTCCAACTGATGTCAGTCCATGATGAATTTCAACCTGAAATCAATTAATAAACCTACAGATAGATCTTTTTCGGTTTAAACACTACGATTTGAGGTATATTCCTGTTTGGGAAGGAGAAACGAATGGTTTCTTTACGAATATGACTTGTATTTCTCTTTTTACAGATGGAATAAGTTTCTTCCCTCGCTGCCATTTTAGCTGTTTTTCCTCACTAATATCCTTATTTTACTGTGAAACGTAAGTGTTTACATTTGTTTATGGTTATGTACTACTTGAAGGAGTGTTCAATAGACTTTTTATCGTTCTCAGTCTATACGATACACTTAGTATGTGTAAAATCATATTATCTTTCGCTTCATTCGTATAAACATATCATTCTTTCGCTGTTTTTGTATGTAATTCGAATGCAATATGTTTAGGTTTTTACTCCTCGTGTATGTGCGCGATTCTAATGATTTCTTTATACGAAGTTATCTTTTGTTTCTTTTCTCAAACATCTCATTCAAATTGAAGATAGTGTAACTGTAAAAAAGCCCATTTGTTCATA